CCTAAGCTTAAAAAAAAAGCCTGCACTGACAACGGAAATTAGAAGGTAGTAGCCTAGATATTTGGGTGATGTAATATTATAATACAATGCCATTAATCAATATATTAAGATAACCAATGCTATTTAAATTACAAAAATAGCCTATCATATGATATCTGGATCACTGTCAGATGCTGAGCCGACCCAGGACGCATAACTTACCATCAGACTCTCCATCACTCATGGCATTTAGTGTTTGTAATACCTACCTTCCATAAATCGCCTTTTTTTGTCATTTTGACTTTATTTATGAAACTGATAACCGCTAAATCAGTGAGTGAAAGGTGTTGCCTAGAAATGTACAATGTTAAAACATAAGCGGCAAGAAAATGACAGCGCAAAAATACATGCATTATATAGCGGGTAAATTTGACCCGCTGGCGCTTATAGGTATAAATGCCCCGTTTTTTTATCTGGTTTTATCTAAATAATTTTTATCATAAACGTTTTTAAACTCATAAAAGTTTGGGATCAGTAAGATTTTTAATATGTAAAGAAGTTTCAAAGTTTCTTCCGTTCATCATGGCTGCATTTATTTGACCAAAATACAGAAAAAAAACTGTAATATTGTAAAATATCATTACCATTTAAAATAATGGTTTTCTATTTTAATATGCTTTAAAATATAATTTATTTCTGTGATGCAAAGCTGAATTTTCAGCATCATTACTCCAGTCTTCAGTATCACATGCTCCTTCAGAAATCATTTTAATATGCTGATTTATTATCATTGTTGGAAACAGTTGTGCTGCTTAATATTTTTTAAACCTATAATACTTTTTTCAGGATTATTTGATGAATAAAGTTAAAAAGAACAGCATTTAATTAAAATAGAAATCTTTTCTAATAATACAAGTCTTTATTATAACTTTTTTATCTTAATGATTTAAAACATCCTTGCTGAACAAAAGCATTCATTTCTTTCCAAAAGAAAAAAGAAAAAAAAAAAAAGAAAGAAAAAAAATTACTGACCCCCAAACCTTTGAACGGTAGTGTATATTGTAACAAAATATTTCTATTTTAATTAAATGCTGTTCTTTTTAACTTTTTATTCATCAAAGAATCCTGAAAAAAGTACCACATGTTCCAAAAAAATATTAAGCATAAAAATAATAAATCAGCATATTAGAATGATTTCTGAAGGATCATGTGACACTGAAGACTGGAGTAATGATGCTGAAAATTATGATGATTCAGCTTTGCATCACATGAATAAATTAAATTTTAACGGATATTAAAATAGAAAACCATCATTCTAAATTGCAACAATATTTCACATCATTGCATTGAACACGTTTTTTTTTCTTTTCCTTTTTTTCTGTATTTATGATCAAATAAATGCAGCCATTATGTGCAGAAGAGACTTTATAAAAAAAATAATAATAATAAAATAAATATATATATATATATATATATATATACACACACACACACACACACACTTGGTTATTTATTTATTGTCATTTAATTTTATTTTAAGTTTTTATTTCCAGGTTGAAATTAGACTTTGAATCCTACATTTTCTGTGTTCTCCGATTTTTGAACTTCATTGTATTTATGTCTCACACACACTTGTGCACACAACTAAATAAAAACTAAGCGTGCATGTGCAGTTATTTTGCATCTTTGCATGTTGCGTGAGGATGCATGTGTTATTGAACATGTGTGTACCAGTCTGTTGAAGCCGAGGGCACGCAGAGCCTGTTTAAGGGCCGAGAGCTTCTCTCTGCTCTGAGTACACGCTGTAGCTACTGCAGGAGATTCACCGGGAGCCGCTGTGCTCATACACCTGAAAACAAACACACACACACACACACACACACACAAGAGACATGACTAGTGTGAATTAAGATTTGAGATGACTTAGACTTTACATTGGCAGTGCCATCTGGACACGAATATTTGGTGTGGGTCTTTAAGAGAGGCAAGACAAGTTTGAGATGTTCTTAGTGTCACTGACATAATCACAAATTCAAGTCAAAGAAAGGTGAATGTTCAATTTTTAATGACAACCTTCCATTTACCCCTATGCAAGATTTGCTGAGGACACTTGGGGTCACAGAGAGTTCAGGGTAAAACAAGTTTAAAACTGGCATCTGACATCACCCAGTAGTACCTTTTTTAACATTTTGAAAAATCCTGATGTTAAAGGCTGAAACAGAATCAATCTGACAATGAAAATTCAATGCATTGACTGCTGAATTTAATAATCAACGTGTCTCATGGCGTTCATGTCTCAGTTTACCCTTTACTACAGTGTTAATATTATAGAGATCTATATCTGAATCTGAAAAAGATGCAAAAACACGAAATACAGTTTGAATTTGTGTATTACACTAATGCCAACTATCCACTTTTTAAGTTGGTTTTCTATGAAATCTCTGGGTAGGTCTTTTTTTTTTCATTTCTATTTGCAAATGTAAAGGTTTATTTAAAATATCTAAATGTTTTATCTTATTGAAATTAGTTTATTTTGAAACATGTATTGGCAGTGTTTCAGAATAAAATAAAATAATAAAATAAAATAAAATAAAATAAAATAAAATAAAATAGCAATCTTTGTGAACAAACCATAACAAATACTCACTGGCAATAAAATAAAATAATCTGTATTTGGATGTGTCTTTATCTAACAATGGCTCTTTCCTTGAGATTCAACCATAAGCACACTGTGCCTGCCTCAGGCTTTTGGATGCTCATTCAAAGCATCTAATTCTCTCATGAATGAGAGAATAACAGCTGTTTGAGGCTATCATGACTCTGAAGGATAACCAGCGTAACTGAAAGCACATAAACACCTCCAGGGTTCAGATAACAGAACACATGAGGAAAAACCACAGCAAAAACACTGAACCTTCAACACAACGAATGCATAAAAAGCAATCACTACATTAACCAGCTGCTCAACAACTATACATTTAAACTAATCTTATTTGAAGCACAAACCTCACTAAATTATAAAACATTTATTATTAATTATGAATCCAATTAAGATTCTATATAACCACATAAAAAGGTTATACATTATGTTGGGGCCTAAATGATTATGATTACAAGAGGCAGAAGTACTTTATGTAAAATGAGGTTACAGATGTTTCTTACGGTCAGGCAGCAGATGCATGCTGTGTGTGATGATCAGACAGACTTACATGCTTCATTCGCGGCTCTAAAGTGAAGCCTTTGGGACTTGAGCGAGCAGCCAGGTGTTTCAGGATGTGCTTACAGGCCACAGACTTCCCAGAACCACTCTCTCCACTAGACAGAGAGAACAAAGTGAGAGGAAATAAGGGTGTGGATCTCAGTAAAAAAAATAAATAAATAAAATACTGCACATATTAAAGACAGCACAATATATATTACCAAGATGTAAAAATACTTAATCTCTAAAAATTACGGTGACACTACCATTCAAAAATGAGTTTGTATTTTTATGTTATTCAAATAAAACAGTACTATTGTGAAATATTAAAACAATTTAGGTAACTGTTCTATTTGAATAGATTTTAAAATGTAATTTATTCCTGTGATGGCAAAGCTGAATTTTCAGCATAATTACTCCAGTCTTCAGTGTCACATGATCCTTTCTCAGAAATTATTGTAATATTTGCAGATTATCATCAATGTTGACAACAGATGTGCTGGTTATTCATTTATTTATTTTTGTAGAAATCGTGATGCAGTTGCTTCTGGAATTATATGAATACAAGTTCAAAAGTACGGCATTTTATTTTTGTCATTTATTTTAATCTTTTGTAACAATATAAATGTACTGTTTAATGCATTTAATGCATCCTTTTTTTTTTGCATTTCAGTAATGAGAATTGGTTGGTAAAATGTGCTGAATTGTCATGAAAACAATGGTGCTGGAATAGTGATTTTATTTTATTTTATTTTCAGGCAAAATGGAACATGGAGATGTTTGTGACAGATTCACCCAGAGAGAGCAGCTGAAAAACACTGCAAATCTGCCTAAAAGTGCATCTGTCAATGTAAAGATACATAAAACAAATCAAGAGAGCAGTTGATATTTTCAAAGAGCTCTGGGCGACAGTCCTCTTGTGAATGTGTGCTCCTGTCAGCCAGTTTATCGTTTACCAATGGGAGATCTTACAGTATGTCAGGGAGCTGTTTCACTCCTCTCCACATCACTCCATCGTATGAGATTACAGTCAGCCTACAGCAATATACCCTCAAAAACCTCACGACTCAAGACTAAAGATCCCTCTCCTGATCAGGTATCTAACCCGAGTCATCCAGGAGGACACATCTGTCATATCTTCACTTATTCCAATGCACTACTTGGGGATTTGTTCAAATCACTTGTTCTTCTCTTTTATTAATAAGACACTTTTCTCCACAATACCTATACTACCACATCAAACTGCCTCTGTTTTTATTTTTTTGTGCAGTTTGTTATCTCTCTTCAAGTAAGCTTTTTCACAAATCTACTATGGCAATTTTTTATGATACTGCTGTCAACCACCTACAACACCGACCACCTGACTGAAACAGTGTAGTGTTCCAAATCAGTCACTGATGAGGTTCTATTACATACATTTTAGCAAATAGCAGATGCCAAAATTGCAACTGATTCCAACAGAGTTTAAAATTGGAATGTTGTTAAGCTAAAGACTCACAAATATCGGGTGAAATAGTACATTGTTACAACATTGTTAATCTTTCTCTCTCAACCACAGTGCAATTTCATAAATATATAGTACTTTTTTGGCGGAAATTAAATATTAATACTATAATATAAATAATTATTTATTTGGCACCAAATCAGCATATCAGAAAGATTTCAGAAGGATCATGTGACACGAAAGACTGGAGTAATGATGCTGGAAATTCAGCTTTGCATCACAGAAATAAATTAAATTTTTAAATATATTGAAATAGCACACAGTTCATTTTAAATTATACTAATTTTTAACAACATTACTGTTTTTACTGTACTTTGGATAAATAACCAACCAACCAATCCCAAAGTTAAATAAACAAATAACCAATCCCAAAGTTTTAAAAGCTGGTGTACATTTATTTACGTTTTAGTACATTTATAATTGCCCAGAGTTTATCAGTTTTATTTAATTTTATTTTTGATTGATTGATTGATTTGTTTATTTATTGTTTTAGTTGCAAAAACACATGCAGAATCACCTTTTGTAACAGGCATTGCATCAGATGCACATTTATGATGCCTTAAACGATGTCTAGGTAATCAGCTGGTTTTAGAAAAAGGCTAGCAAGCTACAACATCTTTTTCAAAGCTGTGAATGATTTGCAATATAATTTTTTTATATGATTTCCACAAGTATATTTACAGGGTGTTAATTCACACCACTGCCCAACAACTAACAAGGGCTTTGGCAGACATATATCTTGTTTCATCACTGCCATACGTCCCACTTCATATTCTTGACGACGTACAGTAACTTGATTAATTACTCCACTGTTCAATGTTACGACCTCTTAAAAATGAGCCATAAAGCACAGTCAAACAGCTCATGGTGATAACTACCGTCTCAACACACAGTGAAGAGCCTGGATCCTAGCAGAGTCCCGCGAGAGAGAGATTGAATGGAAAAAAGCAGTCTTGAGCAGATGATTTTTAAAGGTTACTCGGCCTCCCACTAACCATTTTCTGGAGGGTCAGATGTTTTTTCTTCCCTTTTTCCCATTTCTTTTTGGAAACCCATTCTGAAACGTAATTGAACTCAAGGGCACAATGCATTGCTGAGCCAGTAGTGAGTAGGTGTCCGTGAGCCCCTTGAACCAGCATTCCTCCACTTTTCTTGCCATGGTTCTGTAGCCGCTAGAGCATGGCGGCAGCGATCTGCCCTCACCTGCGGGACGAGTGTGTGTGTGTGTGTTGGTGTGATGGATAGCCCACGCAGAGAGGGCATTAAAGTAGCTGTCAGATCCTGTCTGGCTCAGCGAAACCAGGTTCGGGCCAGTGGAGGATCATCAGAATGTGAAACAGGACTTAATTGCAATCAGAGATGACTGGAGTGCAAGGCAGGACACAGTGCAGGCTACACTGCTGCCCCTGCATCCATTAATCTCGCTGAGAGCTTTTAACAGGTTTGGATTTACGCCGTCCCTGGCAAATTTGTCTCCGTGACAGCGTTTAGCGAGAACCGCTCGGTTGATGCAGGAGTCGGTATTATCCAAATATGGGAGCAGGCATCTCTAACACAACCTCATTTCAACCTCTCCACCAACACGGGGTCACTTACTGAGCTGTGGACCCCTATTACCAAACTACAAGCTGGTGCATCAATGACAGAAGGTAGAAAGTGTCCAGTGGAATGCATTTGGGAGCATTTGGACGTGTTTTGGTTAATATACCTTTCAACCAATGAATTTTCATTATTGTTATTATTATTATTATTATTATTATTATTATTATTATTATTATTATATATTTTTTTTCATTCATTTGTGATTGCAGGATAAGGAATTAAAATTAAAATTAAAATTAAAAGTCAGTGAATAAACGTTGGGAACATACAGCAAAGTTCTGCCAATAAAATATTTATTTTTTTATTTTATTTGTATACTTTTAAATAAAAGTTTATTAAACATGTAAGCTTTAACAAAAACATTTAAAATGCCATAAAATAGAATTTAAAATTAAATAAAAGCTTGTTAAACATGTAACCCTTAAAAAAACATATAATTTTGTTAATTACTTTCTAATTAATATTAATAACGTCTCTATGCCTGAAATTCTAAAATACCCAGATATTTCCCTGATGAATATTTATATCTGAGGAAGCTTTTATGAAATGTATAACTTTCTGTTTTCAATAATCACCATTTTCAGCTCGCTCCTATGCCCCAAAGTTAAACACTGTATTTGAAATGTTTTGCCCATTCATCCAGGCAGCTTCATCAGTTGTACAGAATTGGCGATTCCCATGGATTTTGAATTCATAACTCAGTGCATCAAGTATCACACAGTGAAGGTCGCCACTATTGTGAACTGGGCCAAAATTGTCAGCTAAAGCAGTGATAAAGCTGCATAAGTGAATATCATCTATTTTAGAGCCACATGACAGTTTAAGGCCAACAGTTTTAGGACATGTTTTTTTTAGTCATTGTGATTTAGAGCGTAATAGGGCATCCACCTCGAGAGGACTCACCACATTCCTAATGATGAAGCCAACCTGATGTAAGATGCAAGACTCTTTTGCTGTTTCAGTTAACTGATGGTTAATATAATAATATTATAAATAATATTGAGTTAACTGATGGTTAAAAAGACAATTAAAAAAAAAAAGTAGTGATTACTGGGCTTTCTTGATCCAGTAATCACTACAATTTAAATGTAGTGATTACTGGATCAAGAAAAAGCTACTGACTGTGCAAATAAAACATGAAAATGTAAAGAATGCATGACAAGTGTGGCAGTGTTATGCATGTCAGTGGGTGGCACCTGATGATGAAACACTGTGGGCGTCGCTCTTGCAGCATCATGTGATAAGCTCGCTCAGCTGAAGAGAAGATATGAGGCGGGAGAGAGGAACATAGACGACCACTGGAGCTCAGATACAACTGACTGACCTGAGAGACAGAAAGAGAGACATTTACATAACACTGCTAATTTCCCATGACCTGTTCACTTCATTAGTGTTTGGTATTTTTCAAGCGCTCTGGTCAGGATTAGTTCTGAAGCATTAAGCTTCTGAAGTAATTAACGTAAAGCCTGTTTAAATACTCTTTAGACATTTAAAACTTTATTTTGTAGACAACTTCAGATCTTACATCTTAGCTGTGCTATCTGTTTTTGCCTTCTGGAAATGTTGCAATTTATGAAATGTAATGGTAAAATTCAAAATGCGACCAACAGCAACGATGTCAGTGTGACATGGTTATCACTGATTAGTATTTATCCTTACATCTGTTTGCATACTAAATTGTGATTGCACTTACGTGCATTTATTAAACATTTATATCCCCTTTCTGCACAGAGATCAGATTATTGGGTCCAGGTGACTGAAAACAAGATGCTGAGCAAAGTGGCTTTCATGCAAATTTAATTAAAACAACACTAAAAAGAAAAACCTGAAATCAACTTGAACGCTGTTCTTTGTTGCCGTATAAACACCGGTATTTTTTTGCAGGAAATGCAAATCTAGATACAGGCATTACACCTGCTGGCTAAAAGTGAAATAACTGAGTGAGGAAGCCGTGAATCTTGAGTCTTGAGTAATAAGAGATGCCATAATCAGATCTGAATGAGGCTAAAAGCCTAAGACATAAAAATATATCTTCACACAGCAAGAATAAAACTTAAGCGACACTGCAGATTTAGTGTCTGACTATATTTCTAGGTGTTAGAAACAGAAAGGTTATGCGTGTTAGCATGTGTGTGAAATGCAGAGTAAGCAAAATTTTAGCCCAATTTGGGAAAAAAAAGGCTAATGCTGAGATCTTATTACCCTTTACCACTGAGACACAACACACATACTGTATGACAGAGCCATAGAGGACACCGCAAGGACAGAGGAAGAGTGGGCAAGACACAAGCTGTGTTAATCACAAAAATTGCAGCCGTAACAAGCATTATATAAGCAATTTGTGCCAATGTGCCTTTGTTACAGTCTATGTTTGTTTAACATTTTGACTATTACTGTGAAACTCATTCATCTGATTTACAAGGCAGCATAGAATCTAATTTTACTGCCTGTTATATCCCACAATCTTTGGCATGGATAAAAACAAAGCAAAACAAAAAAAAATCAAACAAAACAAAACAAAATATAAAATAAAACACACACAAAAAAAGCATTTAAAAGTATCAAACACAACAAAAAACACATTTAAACACACAGAGAAAGCCAAACCAAACAAAAAGCAAAAACACATATAAAACAAAAAACAAACATTTAAATTGAAACAAAAATTCAAACAAAACACAAACCAAACAAAAAAAAAACAAAATAAAATAATAAAACAAAACAAAACAAAAATTAAAAGAAACAACACATTAAAATACAGACCACAACGCACACATACACAAAAATAAAACAAACACAAAACCAAGAAAAACAAAAAACAAAAAACAAAAAAAAAAAAACAAAAAACAAAAAAAAAACAAACAAACAAATGTATTGCCCGACTATACATACATTAGCATTGAATTAATACATTTATGAGCTGCTACAGTGAAGCAAATTCAACAGAAAGGACATTTGGAATAGATGTCAATGGTATTGGTAAAGTAGATTATAGCCCCAGATTACAACCTCATCTTTCAGAGCATTTCATCACACACTATGCACAGAGAGCCAACAAGTCTGAACACGAGCAGCTGACAAAGGAATCAGAGACAGGCTTAGAGGTTGCCTTTGATATCAGGGTTCCCACACCTTTTGACATTCATTTCCCTAGAAAAATAATTGTTCACCCAAACATTGAAAATCATTCATTCGCCCTCATGCTGCTCCAAACCTGTATAACTTATTTTCTTCTGCTGTACATAAAAGATGTTGTAACTAGTTTTTTTCATATGGGTCAGAACACAACATTTGAACCCATTGACTTTCATTGTATGGGGGAAAAGAAGACATCTTTTGAGGTCCACAGAAGAAAGCAAGTCATAGATCATTTTTGGGTTCTCTATCCCTTTTAAGGACAATAAAAAGGTAGATTCATATATTCAAAGGTATATTTAAAGATTTTCAGCCCTGGAAATTCCCCAGATTTGCCATTACTGTGGGAACCCTGCAGTATGGAGACACAGGGATTTGAAGCAGATCAGCCAACAAAAGTTTAGTTAGATCCAGAAGTAATTTTGCTTCTTCTGTGAGCTGGAGAGGGTTAAATATTTAAGCTGTAGATGGAAGAAGAGATTTTAGAGGCATTTAAGAGGGTAAACAGTGTGCAGGGTGGCATTAAATATAAAAATAAACTCAGCTGTCCTGTTTTGGCACAATGTTGTACACTTCAAGGTTTGAAATACCACTTACATA